TTAGTTCCTATGTTTTCTTCCATGCAATTCATTGTTTCAGGTATTATATTGAGGTCCTTAATCCATTTTGAGTTAATTTTGGTGTGTGGTGATAGACAGCAGTCTAGTTTCATTCTTTTGTAAGTGGCTTTCCCGTTTTCCCAGCACCATGAATTGAAGAGGCTTTCCTTTCTCCACTGTATGTTTTTTTTTGCTATTTTGTTGAAAATTATTTGCCCATATAAACATGAGTTTATTTCTGGACTCTCAATTCTGTTCCACTGGTCTGCCATTTTGATTATTGTCACTTTGTAATATTATTCGAAGTCAGGCAGAGTGATACTTCCAGCCTCGTTCTTTTTTCTCAGGATGGCTTTGGTGATTCTGGTTCTTTTGGGCTTCCATACAAATCTAATGATTTTTTATTCTATTTCTTTACAAAATGCTTATGGGATTTGATGGGGATTGCATTAAATCTGTATGCTGCCTTAGGTAATAAGGCCATTTTAACTATGTTGATTCTTCCAATCCAAGAACACGGAATATCTTTCCATTTCTTTGTATCGTCTTCAATTTTTTTTAATAGGGTCTTATAGTTTTCATTATATAGGTCTTTACATGTTTTGTTAGATTTATTCCTAGATATTTTATTCTTTTTGTTGCATTTGCAAAAGGAATTATTTTTTCCACCTCTTTTTCTCATAATTCATTATTAGAGTATAGGAATGCTATAGATTTTTGAACTATATATCAAAACATTTTAAACATTAAATATTGATCAAACCAAAATTATACTATTATATTTGGTATCATACAAAATTATACTATTATATTTGGTATAGAAAGAAGGCAAAATGGGAAGAATACAGATGTCTCATGAGACAGGGAAGAAGAAGTGAAGTCTTTGTTTTTCATGGTGGAGAGTTAACAGTTAATGCCAAAAAGTGAACAAATTTGTTTAAGGCAGGGGTCATACAAACTAATTTTGGCCGCACGGTCATAAATACCAAATAACGACTGCGCAGGCTGAAAGAAGTAAAGAAGTTCCCCTGGGGATGGGAGCGTGGCGGACTGATGCCGTCGCTGCCACCGTCGCTGTCGCTGTTGCTGTTGTTTTTGAGCGAAACTTGGAGAATGTTTCTAAACTATATACAATTTTAACTTTGATAAATATAAACAAAATCTAATAATATTATCAGTAAGTAGTCAATATCCCTTGTATAAAAGTAGAACTCTAAAATGGTGAAGATAGCACATTTCAAGTTTTATTTATTGAACTAGGAGAAAAGCTGACCAAAGAAAGAGCTGGTTCAAAAGTCTTTAGGATTCTTGAGTTTGGAGAGAGAAGATGCTTATATTAAATTGGCCTTAGACGTAAGACAAGTAAAATTTCGACAGAGCAATAACATTTAGCAAATCAGGAAAATATCACACTTTATCATTTTTCTATAAGTTAACCTCTGACTTTACAGGGCTATAATATTCCTGCTTTCTAGTCAGTCGTGGATACTTAATCAAACAAAATTACATTTCCCAAAAGAGTGAAAGGACTCCCTCTCCCCCAGGAGGGCTTATCAGAAATGCTCTATTAAAAAGCCATGCATTTTGCTTTATTTCCAAATTTTGGATCTTTTTTCCTGAACACTTGCTATATATATTCTGGAAATACTGTGGAAAATCGGTAGTTTTGAATTGCATTCTGCAAGTCCTAGGGCTGGCATAGGGCCCCTGGGGTGAGCAGGGACAGCAGGGGTTGTCCACTTACCACCCACCACACTTTCAGCTCTCCTTCTACTATGTTATATATTGGGCCTATGCATAAGATTTCGTTTAAAGAAAGGACTCCAAGTTCCTTCCTGATATCATAGCCTATAATTATTAAAAGAAAAAAAATCACTACAATTTGCAGCATGTTTAGGTTGGGTGGATTAATTTCTTTGTCAGAGCCATAATAGGAAGACTGACTTTGTCATTTCAATTACAAGCTACTGTTTAGTCTGAGCCCCGAAGACACTTTTCTGGAGATTCCCTCCACTTGCCTGGCGCTGGAGCAATTAACAGTGGGTGATTTGTGGCTGCATTTTTAGTGCTTAGCACAGGTTTATCATCTTGAAAGTTTTCCATTTGCATACACACTATCCATTCTTTGGGTGACATCTCTATAGCATTCAGAGTTTCGATTATGCATTGCCTTTTACTGCACTTTCTGCTACGTGCTGGGAATCGGCAAGCTTGGCCAGAAAGTTGCTGTGGACCAAGGGGAACATGAGTTGCAGCCACCACTTACTGAGGGCTCACTTTGTGCCCACTCTCAGTATGGGCTTTTGATGCATTCCCTTATATATTCCTCAAACCAGGACTTCGAGATTTCTATGGTTTGCCACCTTTTATTAATATAGAAACAAATTCAGAGAGGAAAAGTAATTTGTCCAAGGTCACCCAGCTCAAATTAGCAGAACTGAGATTCAAACTCAAGTCTGATTCCAAAACATTCTGCTACACCACCTCTCATATTGGGAGCTTTCAGAGCGAAATGAATTGCATTTGACAGTTTTCCACCTTGAAAATCAAACTTCCTGACCAGCCTAATTGCTCCTTTGGATGAACAAGAAATTACTATTTAAAAGAAGCAAGGTGCAGACAAGAGTTCAAGAAAAGGGGGTTTTATTATCTCTACTGGTAAAGGAAGAGGTGTAATCCTGGGGTGGGCGTGGGGCAGAAATGACATCAAATGGAAACCATAACACACATTGGCAGTGGGCTTAGGATGATGAAATTGCTAAGGAGTGCAAAAAAGATATGGGAGTAATGAATGCATAGCACCGAAGATTTTCTAAAAGGGAAAGAAAAGATCAGAAGCCACTAAAGGCAGGAGTTGGCCTAGTTGAGGGTGGGGTCTCTATCCATCTTGACAGGTGGAAAGAGAATGACGAAGCCCCAAAATAGCAACCAGAGATCTCTGTTTGTGTTCCAGTGTGCCTGGGTGAGTTTGGGCAAGGAGCAGGCTGCCAAGTTTGAATCTTTTCTCTTTGACTTTCTACATAGGTGGCCCTGGACAAGTTACTTAACCTCTCTGGGCTTCAGTTTTCTCGCCTGAATAATGAAGATCATAATATTGCCCACTTCGTAAAATGAGGTCGTGTTTAGTAAGGTGCCAGGCATTTAGTAAGCACTCAGAAAATGTTAGCTGTTTTTGTTATACCATGAGCATCATCTTCACATACTGCAAAAAATAGGAGATTGTAAGGCAGTAAAAGGCTTGAAGAAATAAAGGAGAACAGGAAGTCAGGAGAGGCTCACCTGTAGCCAAGAAGTAAAGGGGGATGTTCTCTCCCCCACCTCTGAGCATCAGGAGGAAAA